AGGTTAGGGTTCAGAGCAGCCTGGTACAAACACTTGAATACATGTTTGTTGAGTGAATGTGTGACTGCAGGAAAGACACGGTTTGATCAGGCCTGAGGTTTTGCCATATCATGGATTGTCTATTAAGTTCCTATTTCATACTAGGTATTAGTCTTAGATGATGAGCAAGGCACGGAGAAACTCTGTTCACGTCAAATCTTCCATAACTCCTCATGTATGTGTACAGGTATGTCTGTGTACAGGCATGTTGGCATAAATTTATCCGCTCTTTACAGAGTATTCGCCCTGTGCTTAAATTTGGTACCTCAGAAGGAGAAGGTTCAGTTTTGGTTGCCTGGGTCTCAGAGCGGGTGGGGAGGTTATGTCCTGTGTGGAGGAACCCTGTTTAGGGTGGGTAAGCAGGTGTGTAGGAAGGATTCTTGAGATACTGGTAAAAAGGCCCTGATTGTAAGTGGACTAAAGAACCCAGCCCGAGTGTACACGACTGCCCTTCTGCTTCACCGAGTGTGTAGAACGAAGCAGCTTACCCAAGGGTCCGTGCCCTTAGCTTTGCTCTGAGTTCCTCGGGAAGGAAAGGGGACAGTGCCGTGTGGCGGAGAGGGCTCTAAGCTCTTTGTCTCATTTCTGTGCATGTGTTTGGGCACTAATGTGCCCATGGCCATTTGTTCATTGACATGACAAACACCTGATTATCACAGGTGCCAAGCTAGTGCTGATTGGGAGAAACTGCAGAGCCCAAGACAGAAGGGGCCTTGTCCAGGGCTGGTGACCTTGACTGACAAGTCACTGAGGGCTTAGTCAGTTTCCTGGTCTTGAGGTGTTAGGACTGTAGATATCTGAATGTCTAGTTTTGTTTTGTGGAGGGGGTTTTGATGGCTAATACTATGGGAATCCTTTTTCTTCCTAAGTAGCCAAGGACACGATAGTGGTGGGGAAGCTTATAGTATCCCTTGGGTGGATTTTGTTTTTGAAAACTTTTTTTTTTTCTCCTGAGACAGGGTTTCTCTGTGTAACAGCTTTGGCTGTCTTGGAACTCGATTTGTAGACCAGATTGGCCTTACAGTGATCCACCTGCCTCTGCCTTCCAACTGCTTTGCTACCACCGTCTGGCTTGAAAACTGATTTCTTTTTTAGTTTATTTAACTTTGTTTATGTGCATTGGCATGAAGGTATGAGATCCCTTGGAACTGGAGTTACAGACAGCTGTGAGCTGTCATGTGGGTGCTGGGAATTGAACCTAGGTCCTCTGGAAGAGCAGTCTGTGCTCTTAACTGCTAAGCCATCTCTCCAGCCATTAGAATTGATTTTTAAAATGACATTTTTAGATTCTATAAAGAGACATGCAGTTACATTTCTATTATTACACACTTACTGGAAATGAACAGTTTGTATGTATAGATATGTGGGTATATATAATTTGATAAATTGCATTTGAAATTAAAAGTTAGTCAATGAATACAGTTATTAGGTTATTAATAGCTTTAAATTTTGGATTTAATGTTAACAATTTTAATTAGTCATTTTTCTGAGCCTATTATTGAGTAACGATATTAAGACATGCATGTTCTCTACCACAATACATACAGAGCATTTTATTAATATTGTATGTGAAGATACAACTAGGAAGACATCTAAAAGGGCTACTTAGGGAAGTGATAATGAAAAAAGAAGTTGAGAAACACTGCATTATGGGAAGAAATGGCTTGTGGACAGTTTTCATGGCCTGTTCCTAATGTGTGTGGGTCTCACTATGTGCTTCAGGTTAGTCTTAACCTCTTTGGTCTTAGCGATCCCCTTGTCTCAGACTCCTAAGCAGCTGGGACAACAGCCATGTGCTTCCAGCTTGTCTTCATGGCCTGAGTTTTTGTTGTTTTTTTGTTTTTCAAGACAGGGTTTCTCTGTAGCTTTGGAGTCTGTCCTGGAACTAGCTCTCGCAGACCAGGCTGGCCTCAAACTCACAGAGATCCGCCTGCCTCTGCCTCCCGAGTGCTGGGATTAAAGGTGTGCACCACCATCGCCCAGCTCATGGCCTGATTTTTAACCCCAGGGATTTTTGCGATTTGATTCTAATCTAGAAAACCCTTTCTTGGAGGTTTAGAAAATGGCAAGTGTACAGCCATGGAAGGAGAAAGGCCTGAGCCAGTGCTATCTGTGAGGAGTTCTCGTTCTCAGCCAGCGACAGACTTGGGCCACATTCTGAAGTGATGACTCCCTTTCTTTCCCATGGCTCCATACTTTCCTGTCTTTCTCTCCATCCCCAGGAAATTCATATTGTGGGGTTGGTGGCAGGAGGAGCAGGAGGCTGTTTCACCAGGTCACGCAGGTTGGGATGAGGCCCTAGATAGAACAGTGGGAGGGGGGAAGGTTGGGATGGAGAGGCATTATTGCAGGACCTGATCAGGGTGAGCTAGGAGGAGGACTTGGCTTGGGGCAGAGGTGTGGGAGAAGGAGCATGCAGTGGTAATTCTGGTTCCTGTGCAAGCTCAGGTTGGTTGGAGGTGGTGGGGTGTAAGCAGGAAGAGGATTCATTCCCATTCCTTTGGGTGGGGAGCATGGACAGCGAAGAGGGCAGCATCTGGGCGATCCTGGGCTTATGGTAAGAAGGTTGCTTGTAACCCGGAAGGCAGATGAGTGGATGGAAAGCAGCATCAGTTACCCTCAGTCCAGCTCAGGTTAACAAGCCACCCTTGTGGGGAGATGCTGGGTGTTGACTGTCTTTGGGGATTCTGTTTCCTCAACAGAACTTTCCCTGCTGTCCCCGGCCCTCCACAGACTTGGGTACCCCCTTCCCTCCTGTCAAGTTGGTAGTACAGTTGTGCTCCTGTGGGCAGGTGTCAGTTCTTCCAGGTGGCTTTTGCCTGCTCAGTTAGACCTCACCCATGCGTTTGTTGCTAATGGTCTGCAGTGGGAATCCGCGAGACTCCTGGTTTCCATCTGAAAGTCTATGGGCAGTTCCCCGTCCCTGCCCCTCTGGGGCTCAGGAGTCAGTCTTGATTGGAGTCTCCCAGTCACTTCACATTTGCTGCCACGCCTGTGAGGTTTAGGCAGGGAGGAGCGGGAGGGGAAAGCACCCCCCCCCCCCATTGTCAACTCATTTTCCATCCTGGGCCCAGAGAGTCTGGGTTTCCTCCTAAAGCTCTGGATCTCTGCACCATGATGGTCAGACGGCCGAGTGGGTGAGGTCATCACACCTCTCTGAAGGGGCTCTTTCTTGTGACCAGTACCTTGGCTATTATGCTGATACTTGTATGGGCCTATATATTTATTTAAAAGTATTTCAGCAAATGATACATTGTTAGTTGGTTCTTCCGGTAACTAACAGATGGTGCCCTCTGTCTTGGATGGGTCGTGCTAGGGCTGTGAAAGCTCCTTCCCTCTAGGTGGGGTTCTGGGGGTAGAGCGAGTATGAGTGAGCTGAGAACCACAGGGGAGGGACACCAGCCTGCACTGGGGACACAGTGGACCGAGCTCTCTGGGAGAAGGCAGAAGTTCTCATTCCAGGATGAATGAAGGTTATCTGTAACCAGGATTTGGTGGTCCTGCCCCCAGAGGGAACGGAGGTCAAGGCTTGGGTTGCAGACTGAGACCCTGTCTAAGGGCAGAGATTTAGGACCCGCCCTTTAATCCTGTGGGCCCCATCCTTAAGAGCAGCAAGCTGTTTGAAACGCACGTGTCTGTAAATTCTTTCCAGTTTTGACACCTCATCCAGAGGGTGTCTTGAACAGGGCTTCAGAGGTGGAATTTCAGTAGCCACGCGGGAGCTGAGAGTCAGAGGAGAGCGGGGGTGGAAGCAGAAGCCAGACTCTAGGTGGTGCGGCTGTGGCAGAGGGCACCGGAGCTGAGGTGAAGGCCGGCTGTGTTTGACCAGGTTCTGATAAACTCTTTAGAGTTTAGCTAGTTTAGCTTACCCTCCCCTCTTCTCCCCGCCTCCAGTGGGGAGATGTGTGATTCTTTCTGTATCTGAGGATTGTTTTTTCTTTCTACTTTTTTGGGGGAGGTGGGTGTATAGGGCTTTTTTTGTTTTCCTTCCTCCCTCCCTCTCTCCTTCCTTCCTTCCTTCCTTCCTTCCTTCCTCCCTTCTCTCTCTCTCTCTCTCTCTCTCTTTCTTTCTCTCTCTCTCTCTCTCTCTCTCTCTCTTTCTTTCTTTCTTTCTTTCTTTCATTTTTAAGACAGGGTTTCTCCGTGTAGCCCTGGCTGTCCTGAAACTTGCTCTATAGACCAGGATGGCCTTGTGTGTGTCACCACCCAGCTACATGGGACTTTTAAAGTTTGAGACAGTACTCCTGTAGATATTGGCAGCCATCTCCAGCATTATTGCAGTATGCCATTTCCTGTACCAAGACGTTGCCGAAGACACTTTATACAAAGTGGTTCCTTAGAAGTGGAAGGAAAGAGCAAGCTAGCGTTGTAGCAGTGCTCTGTGGAGTCTGATGGTTTCATCCTTTGAGAATGGAGAGTGTCGGGAAGTTCAGTAATGCACTGGAGGTCGGATGGGGAAGCCAGGCCCAGATCCCAGCTGCTGCCCACGCCCTCAGAAGGAGGCCAGCAGGGCACCGTGAGCACCTGGTGGATTGCTTTGTACCAAGTGATCCCTGGGCTTCTGGGAAAGGGCTTTGCAATCAGGCCTGCCCATCTGCCTCCTCCCGGGCTCTCGTTCTTCTCAGGTCAGCCTCATATGCCTGTGATGTGAGAACCTGAGAGTAGTTTCCTGTGTACTCAGTGGCTTGAGACAGAGTAGGAGGAAGGGACTAACCTCGGCTGGCCCTGCTGCCCCTGCAGCAGGGACTCATGCTGGCTCTGCCCCAGAGACACACACAACCTGCCTAATTCCTCAGACGAGTCTGACCCTGCCTGGGCCCTTGCTCAGCCCCGGCAGGCTGTAGTCGGGAGCACTCAGGTTCCCGCTCTGCTCCCGTTTCTAGGAGATGGGGTCGGGAACGGAAAGTGAAAGTAAAGGACGGGGCAGTCATTGCTGCTTCCTATTTGGAAACAGAAACCCTGAAGACAGCGCAGGAGGGTTGAGGTGTTCTCCCCACAGGGGTACAGTCTGCGGTCCCAGCTACTCCAGAGATCTCTGTGCTTCTCAGAAATTGTCAGGAAGCGACTGGTACTGGGTCGCACAACTGTTGAAGGCAGAGCAGGTTAATTCTGAATTCAGGGTCCCTTCCTCTAGGCCAGGGCCCTGAGAACCCTGTGGAAGGCCTGAGGCAGATGTGCCTTCTTTTGTAACGCAGATGTCACCTACTTTTGTAAGTAAAATTTTTTGGGCCTGCAGCCATGGCCATTTGTTTAGATGGTGCCGGTGGCTACTTTTGCACCACACTTGAGCAGCTGGGTTAAAGGTCATGTGGTAGCACCTAGTCCTGGGTGATTCCTAGGAATGTAGCCTATTTATAAATGCTGTAGAGCCTAGGATTAAGTTTGCTTACTTCCTTATTACTTAGATTTCAGAACCTAGGAGAAACTAGTCCGACACAGCCTGCCAAGTGGTGTGTGCAGATCTAGAGTAGCGTGGAAGGGGGGTTTGAACCTCTGCTTGTACAGCCTTGGGTAAGGCGCTTAATCTCCCAGTTTCTTCATCTTAAGGATGCCTCCTAGCTCAGGCAGAGCTGTAGCACCGGGCATGACCAGTGCTGGTGCAAACGCTGGCTCCTGGCGCTGTCATCAAGAGCAGCTGTTAGACTTTGTTCTCCCAGACCCTGCAGGAGCCGCAGACCCCACTGGGGGTTCCCTTGGTTAATGCAGCTTCCTTTTAGGGTAATTCCCAGGACTCCGGCTGAGAAAATAGTGCAGATCTACCATCCTTACGCTTTTCTGAGGGAGAAGAGTGAACTCAAAGGGCCGTCTCTTTTAGCTCTGTCCACCACTGACCAGTGTCAGCGTGTGTCCGCAGGGGAAGTGCGATGCGAGTCATCCGGGAGCAGTACCTGCTCTCCCAGTGACCTATAGGTAGAAGGTGGGATAACCTCTGGTTGTCTGGATGTTGCCTTGTGTAGCCCCTTTCTGTTGGTGGATGTCAGTGTTGTTACAGGGTTTTCATGCAACACTTTTTAAGAGATGAGGATTTAGAAGAGGCATGCTTCTGTGTGGTTACTGCTTCCGCTGTTATTGAGATGGTAACAACCGCTGGAGAGCAGAGATTCAGTTCTTACAGTACTAGAGAGTCTGAGATTCAAGACTGGGATGCTGCATCTGGTGAGGACCTTCTTGCTGTGTTAACATGACCAATAGCATTTTGTAGGGAAGGAGCATATCCGGGAGAGAGTGAACTCATGTGAACCAGTAACCTGTATCCCCTTATTTTTTTTTTTTAAATATTTATTTATTATGTATACAATAGTCTGTCTGTGTGTATACCTGCAGGCCAGAAGAGGGCACCAGACCCCATTATGAGATGGTTGTGAGCCACCATATGGTTGCTGGGAATTGAACTCAGGACCTTTGGAAGAACAGGCAGTGCTCTTAACCTCTGAGCTCCCTCAGCCCTTATTTTTTAATAGCAGTGCATAGGATTGAACTCAGGGCCTCATATGAGCAAGGTCATATCCAGCTAAGCCATATCCTCATAGTAATAATTCATGCTGATAATTATTAACCCATTACTGCCAGTGAGCAACCCTTACCCATAGTAATCGATATTAACCCATTCATGAGGCTTTTGTCCTTGTCTTAGTGTTCCGTTGCCGGAAAGAGAAACCACGACCAAGACACCTTCTGAAAGACAGCATAACTGGGGTTTGCTTATAGGTTTAGAGGATTAGTCCATGATCATCACGGCCGGAAGTGGACAGGCTCGGCACTGGAGCAGTAGTGGGGAGGGTTGTACCCTGATTTGTTGGCAGTAGAGAGACAGGGAGAGAGAGATACTGGACGGCATGGGCTTTTGAAATCTCAAAGCCCACGCCCCATGGTAGATTTCCTCCAATAAGGCCACACCTCCTAATCCTTCCCAAATATCTCCACTAACTGGGGACCAAGCACTCAGACATGGGCCTGTGGGGCCGCGCCCATTCAGACCCCCACACCCTCACGTTGTCATCACTTTCTGAAGACCCCATGTTTCAAGACAGTTATAGCAAATGGAGGCCAGCCTGGTCTACAGAGCTAGTTCCAGGATGGCCGGGGCTGGGCTACACAAGGAAACCGTGTCTCGAAAAACAAACAGGCTAACAAAATAATACCGTAAAGCCCAATGTGCCCACTCTGGAGGACCATCTTCATCTGGGGAGTTATAGTATAAGAGGTTAAAGGGTAAAGGGAGTGACGTGTAATGACTCTTGGGTACTGGAGGGCATTCTGGATTCTTGCTCTGCCCCAAAGCAATGTACCAAGCTAGAACGCACTTCTAGAATTCAAGTCCATTCCTACCTTGCTTCCTAAAATTGTCTGGGCTTCTCATTGCTTTTGAGGTAAAGCATGTTCATTTTATCACGGGGGCTCAGTGGTCCCCACACTTGAGTGTGCACAAAAGTCTCCTTGCTTGAAGGTGGGGATTCCTGAGTTTTCACATTAGTGGGGTTTGTTTTTTTCTTTTGAGACAGGGTTTCTTTGTGTAACAGTCTTAGCTGTCCTGGAATTCACTTTGTAGACCAGACTGGCCTCAAACTCCCAAATGCTGAGATTAAAGGCTTGTGCCAATACTGCCTGGCTCTCACCAGTGATTCTTACTAGGTCTGGGGTGAGGCCTAGGTGCTTGGGTTGCTCATGTGGGCATCAGCATTCCAGCGTGCTTATTGCTCCTTGTCTCATGCCCTAAGGCTGGTCCTGCCTCACTTCTACCTGTTCCCTCTGCAGTTCCCATGCCGGCTAATCAAGCCTTTGGCTCCCTGCAGACGCTAGCACACCCACAGTTTTCTCTGCTGGCCCCCCAGCTGTTAGCAGTCTCCCTTTGGCCCATTTATTGTGGCATCATCCAACTAGGATGGGATGTGTCTTGGGGTTCAGCAGGAACTGTGGCCTTTCTTCCCCATAGAAAAAGTAGCTCTATAGTTCCAGCGGCAGGGTGTGTCCTCTCTGCCAGGAGAGAGACCTTCCCTCCTGGTTGGACTTGTCTGTTGCGTGATGAAAGTGCCTGACAAAGGGCTTCAGAAGGGTTTGCTCTGGCTCACTGTTGAGCATGTTCATCGTCTGCCCCTTGGCTTTGGGTCTCTGGTCCTGAGTGAGGCAGCACATACGGGCTATGGGACAGTGTTGAACGTGTTGCAGAGACAAGGTGAAAGAGTCTAGGACAGTAGGCAGCTCCCAGCCACCTGCTTCCTCTAACTAGGCCTTGTCTTCTGCTTTGCACCTCTCAATATGTCCTCTTCACTTGACTCCATAAAGGATTGACCCATTGGTTGGGGTCAAGATCCAAACACTTTCTAATGCTCATCCTTCAGGCTGTGGGGGACATTACACAGTCAGTCCCCAATACCTGCATGACCATTAGCATGATCTCAGTACAGGCGTTCTCACCCCTGCTTCCAGCTTAGCAGACATGCCTTTAGTCTCAGCGCTTCAGGAGCGGGATACGGGATTCAGAGTTCATAGCCATCCTCAGCTGTGTAGACAGTTTGTGGGAGACAGGATTCGGAGTTCACAGCCATCCTCAGCTGTGTAGACAGTTTGTGGG